GGCTAGTCCCCAAAAGCTACCTAAAAACTACGGAAAACGGGAGCCTCAAAACGCACAACCTATGCATGCACTGTCTCATGATGGTGTGCTGTAGATAATGGTGGTGTACATCGTACATATTTGCACTCTCATGTTTCTGACTATGGTACTGCATCTCCTTGCATGGACGTGCGTATGACCTTGCAGCATACTACTCATACTATGCATGCATGTGTGTACTCCGTGCCCGTATTCGACAGTGCTTGTCTCTTGTTGCTGTTCAGTCTTTCCTTTGCAGTTTCCGTACGAGTCGTCCTCTCAGTCTCAGACCTTCGTTGCATTGTTCTATTTCAATATACATGTAACTAATCATCACATAGACTTGATGATACTACAATAAAGTAGAGACATGATGATATGAGTTGATGTTCTCCCTTGAAACTAACGTCAATTCTAATTGCATTTCCTACTCCCTATTTATAAACTTTTACATAACACATTCTGGATGCGTTTCATGGTATGGTATGGGACATGTACGGGACATGCCAACGCTCTACACGCGCTTTCCCTTCATACAATAAAATTGGCATTACGTTACACAACACATACACAACATATGGGATGAGTTTGATGGTACGGTACGGGACATGTGTGCGTGTGCGTGTGCTTGCGTAAGTGCATGAGCACGTGCTGTGTGTGCGTGCGTGCATGTGTGTGTGACAAACAAGCAAACCAACAAACAAACGGAATTAAAGCTGTGTGGACCCTGGCTAGCACCAGATGTTACTCAAGTAATGTCTTTTGCATAGCTACGGGAATGAAATAAAGCGCAGCAGACCCTGGCTGGCGCCAGACGCTACTAATGTAATGTCCTTTGCATAGCTAGGAATGAACCCAAGGAGCTGTATTCACAGGCCATATCTAGAGATACTGCCCCAATTGACCTTCCAATGGACATATCGGTTGACCAGGCGCCATTCGAGGATGTCATGTCCAGGAAGGAGCGTCGACGCTTCAAGAGGCGGCTAGCATCAGAACCTTCCGGGACGGAGAAGGCTACAAGTCCTGCGGAACGGCAGACTGACAGCCGCAAAGCGCAGACAAATCCCATCCGCCGCCACGAGTCTTCACGTTACATCCGGGAACGTACGTCCGATAGCAACCCGACACCTTCGTTAGACACCGTCCCCAGAGGCCCGCGGAAAGTTCTCTACCTGGGGCAAATCCCGTATGGTTGCCAGGCACAGTCCATCGCTGAATGGTGCAGAGATCGGGACGTGGAGATAGTGCAATGTATTATATACTCTTCTGAATACTTCAGAACGGCCTCCGCGAGAATAACAGTTGACGCTCAGGACGTGAACAAAGTTAGTGAAAAGTCTTTCTGGCCTGAAACAGTTGCATACACTCTCCGTGACTGGCGCTTCAGGTCCGACCAAGAAGAGGCGAAATGAATACCTCGATACTGAATGCGCAGGCTCCAACTTTCTTTCCGGGTAGATTGCGCCATCCGAAAGCACCTTTCAGAGACAGGGGAGGACTGAGTGGTGACGCTAAGCTGAAAGTTCTACTGATAAACATCAGAAGCCTTCGAAACAAGATTAATGACCTAGCACAACTCACCCGCCAGCATTGTCCTGATGTTGTCTGTGTGAACGAGACATGGCTGGTTAGTACAATTACTGATGGAGAAATCACGTTGGCAGGTTACAATGTTTTGCGTGCTGATCGAGAGGATCAAGTTGGTGGAGGTGTCTGCTTATATTCCCGAACATCCTTGCCTCTCAAGCCGAGATGCGATATAGCTGCTGCTGGGGTTGAGAGTTGTTGGGGCGAGATTCCCTGCACTGGTGGGAGTTGCTTGATAGGCACAATCTATCGTCCTCCCTCTGAACCTATTGGCTACTGGGATCGCCTTGATGGTCTTCTACACTCAGCTATCACTCCGGGCAGGAACGTTATACTGTGCGGTGACTTAAATGTGAATGTGGATCCATCAACGGCTCCAGATCATCAGCTCCATTTCCTGTCTGATCTAACGGCAAGCTACAGTCTCCACCAGGGCGTTCATCAGCGGACACGGTTTGCATCTAATTCCACAGCCACCACATTGGATCTGTTCTTCAATACGTTTGACCAGCACAATGTGGCAACGATCCATCCCGTGGCTTTCAGCGATCATGCAGCGGTCATAAGTGAATTCTACCTTGACCCGACAAGGAGTCCCGAGACATCAATGTTGTGCCGGAACTACCGAAGGATAAATCATGAAAGCTTCAAAGCTGACTTGATTCAGCAGAATTTTTGCAGCATCGAAGGCAGCCCAACAGACATGTGGACGGAGTGGAATAATCGCTTCCTTCCAGGTGCTTGACACTCATGCCCCTCTTAGATCTTGTAAGCTGCACAAGCGACAATCGGTACCGTGGATGGACAGCCAGCTCTTGAACTTTTTGAGTAAGCGCAACCGGCTTCATAAAACGTGGCTGTCAGACAGATCTGAGCAAAGGTATGCTACATTCAAAGCGGTGAGAAGGGAGGCCACTACCTGTAACCGGAAGCTGAAAGAAGCGTACTACAGTACAAAATTTCAGCTTGCGACTTGTGACGTAAAACAAACCTGGCGAATCATCAACCAGTTGACGGGGAAACAAAGAAAATCGGCACCGCTTCAGTACTCAGCTGAGGCAATTCGAAGTGCTTTCGCCAAGATCGTGGAAGATCCCAGCCGCCCAGTTCATCTTCACCTACCCCAAGGGCCACGAACGGCAACTAGTTTTGTGGAATTTGTTCCTGTATATATTGCAAAAGTCCGGAAGCTTCTAGAGCAACAGAATCCGACGAAGGCAACTGGCAGTGACGGCATCCCTGCAGCCCTTCTTCGAGCTCATGCAGATGTTCTTGCGCCGTCATTGGCCTTACTGTTCAACAAATCCATGAGGGAGGGACATTTCCCAGCTCCTATGAAGGTGGCCAGCATTTCACCTCTGTTTAAAGGTGGTGATCCCAGCATAGCAAAGAATCACAGACCCGTGTCTCTAATGTCGATAGTTTCAAAGCTTTTGGAGCGAGTCATCCATGATCAGCTCACTCAGTACTTGTGCCGACATGATCTATTTCCACCAACTCAGTTCGGCTATCGCTCACATCATTCCACATGATCACATTGTGATGCCCTTGTATTAGCCGTTGAGGGCATATGCCAAGCCCAGACAAAAAAGTACTTCACGGGGATTGCTTTCGTAGATATGTCAAAAGCATTTGATAAGGTGAAGCGCCAAACCCTTATTCAGGACCTATTCGAGGTCGGAATTGGTGAAACGGTGCTGCAATGGCTTGCAGACTACCTCTCAGATCGGACACAGTATGTCAAAGTCGGTCAGGTACAGAGCTCACCATACACCAGCTTCTCCGGAGTACCACAGGGGTCAGTTCTCGGGCCCCTGTTGTTTGTTCTCTACGTCCGTGACATTGCGAAAGAGCTGTCCCCTTACAACGTTGCGACCCTGCAATTTGCGGACGATATCTCAATTAGATCCAGCAGCATGAGCATGGATGAGGTGTCCCAAAATCTCTCAAGTGCTGTCCAGCACCTCGCCGATTGGCTTAGGAACCGCGGTCTCATCTTGAATGAAACGAAGACACAGATCATGTCGATATCGCCAGTACGATCTCAAACATTTGACTTGCAAGTGCAATGTAATGGACTGCCTCTGCCAACTGTTCGCTCTGCGAAATATTTAGGTCTCCACTTTGATGCGGACATGAGCTGGAACACCATGGTCGACCACGTCGCACGGGGCGTCGCGCGAAAGTTGGCGTGCTCAGACGATACGCTACGTTCCTGCCCTTTCAATGTCGCATAGCCTATTTTCGTTCTTTCATTTTATCACACTTTATGTATGCCGCTTCTGCTTACTTACCATTTCTCACGGCGTATCAAAGTCGACGGCTTAATGGGCTCTTCAAGCGTGCTGTACGCACAGTCTGTCGGGTACCTCCCGGGACGCCCACAAGCAATATTCTTACACGCATGAACATCCAAACATTGACCACATACACCAACATGCACCTTCTGGTTTTTATCTGGCGTTGTCTCCATGACTCCTCTAACATCAGCATGTTGTTCGCTAACTTTTTCAGCCGCAGTAATTCCACTCAAACTCGTGGTGGGCACAGCAATTTACTGATTGTCCCAGCCAGCCCAACTGCATATCTTGCCAAACGTGTTACCTATGCTGGGACCATCTTATGGAACCAGCTCCCCGCTGCGGTCAGGCAAGAAAGAAAACGCAATCGCTTTAAGTCAATGGCTCTTGCCTTTTTGCTTACCAGATAAATAAGCCTTTTTACAAATACTGTATGCACTGCTCTTTGCGTTATTTTCTCCCTATGCAAGTCGCAACTCCTGTTTTGAGTTGTTTTTCTTCTCTCTTTTTCTTTCCCTACTAGTTGCTGTTACACTCACTGATCCGCTAGGCTTATGCACAGATATACAGCATTCCCTCACTAGTGGGACCATTGTTATTAGGCTAGGGCCTGTTTTGGACTTCCCACTCTAAATAAAGAATACAAACAAACATAGCTTCGGGAATAAAACCTCTGTAGCTCGGGTTCATGTTTGAGTAGAAGTCTGTAGGACAAGTGCATTTACTCTCATGCAAAATCCAGAATCAAGTTGGTCTTCTCTTACCTTCTCTAACCTCATGACTCAATATTTAGGTTAATCTAAGCACATTTTTCTCTCCTTGGATAAATAGTCTTTTGACACAGTGGCATTGAAGAGTGGCTAGCAGTTTTGCATAAGCGGGGACAGCATGTTTGTGTAGTCTGCCTTTCAGTTAGTCCGTCTGTCCATCCGTAGGTCCTCCTGACCGTGCATCCATCCACCCGCCCATCTCCCTGTCCATCCCTGCCTGCCCCCCCCCCCCCCCGCCCGCCCGCCTGTCATGCTCTCTCCCACCATATCTTCTTCCCGAAGAGAATTATTATCATTACATGTACTGGTCTACAATACTTACAGAGTATAAAGAGAATTAAATCCACTAAATGTGTTGGATGGTATATAGCGAATTCGGTTATGGCTCAAATCTCTGGTGTGAAATCGAAAGCAATACATCACATTCTTATTGTTACTGATGGCTGGTTGATAGGCTGCTAGAGTCTTTTAATTAAAAGGATGCCACAATTAGAATGTGCGCAATCAGGACAATAAGCACTGCACTCGAAATTGCAGAACGCTGATCGATGCACCAAAAGTACACTAGCACGCACGCACATACACACGCACACATCCTGTCCTGCAATGCACCTGGCTTGGTAACAGTCACATGTCCCTTCGGCCATGCAAAAGTGTCTCTGTGTGGCCGTCCTGTGCAGCCAAACTCCCAATCAGCATGGCATAGTATGCAGCCACCGTTTTCTTTTTCTTTACTCTATTTCACGCACTTACGGCTTTCTTCATTCAGCTCTATTTCACGCACTTACCTAGGGTGCCCTGTAAAAAGACTTACAATCTGTGGGGATTGCCCTAGTAAAATACGAAATACTACTGCTACTGCTACTGCTACTGCTACTGCTACTGCTACTGCTACTGCTACTGCTACTGCTACTGCTCCTGCTGCTGCTGCTGCTGCTGCTGCTGCTGCTGCTGCTGCTGCTGCTGCTACTTCTTCTACTACTACTACTGAACTTCGCCTTTATTTGAAAACAAACCGGGTGTCAGAAAGAAGAAACTGAAAAGCGCAAGCAAGAAAGGCAATGGTGACAAAACCATTCAAGAAATTAGTAAAAATCAAATCAAATAAATAGAAAAATCCAATCAGGAAATAAAATAAAAGAATCAAGCCAACTAGGGAATACAAAATCAAATACAAAAACAAAGAGCAAACCCGCAAACACCATCCAAGCATCGCTACTACCAGTACGATGACGTTTCCATTCACCCAACCGCTTAAACACTTTTAAAACGAAAACAAATACAACAGAACACTCTGAGACAGAATGAAACCAATGACAATATTAATGGCAAGTCCATTGATGCCCGTCAGCGCGGCATATGAGCCAACGTACGGCTCTCCGTCACAAAGCAATGTCAGCCAATGCCGGATCCACTGCGTAGGTATGATGCACATGACCCCCGGAAGCAAGTAATCTGCCACCGCATCAGAGATAGACTGATTCTCGAGCGCAAGTGGCTGATGATGAGACGATATGGTATGTCCGAGTTCTTATGGTGCATTTGTGTTGCGAGGGTCTTCAAGAAGATGCCACAGTCGGGAGCACACTGTCCACTGGTGGCGAAAACAAGCGGAGTGAACGATCCTCGATCCACCTGATTGATTCGATCGGAATACTGACGTTTCTTCTGACGCTCGTGTTGGGATAACTGCCTCGACACTTCTGGTCCAGACAGCAAAGACGGCCTTGGGTGCGTGACCCGTACATCAAAAAAGGCGTTTTGCTGCCTGGTCCAGAAGCCACGAGCCCATATATCCACACGAGCACCGTCAGCTGAGCTTCCCGAGACGGCTTCACCACCCAGCGGCATCAGCAGTGGCTCAATCTCGACATCGCAAACAACATTAGCAAGTCCGTCCGCCAGGAGGTCCCGAAGTTCATTATGTCTCTGGGTAGGGTATCCCCCGCTTGGGCACGTGAGGGCGTGATGAACCGACATGTCTTGGCCACGAACACAGGATAATGATATGCCATCAAGCGATAGGCCACACCTCAGGCACAATGCGTCTCGAAAATCAGACTTGTTGATGATAGTTAAAGGGAATGAAGCTGAGGGAGGCGTAACCAGCCACGTTGACACACCGCCGTCACCCGCGACATTCACTAGTAGGCGCTGCACATCCGTCAGAGCGGGCTTGATCTCCTCAAATGCAGCATTGTGCTGCGCACGGCGTTCCTGGCGAGCCTGCGTGGCCAAACCCCTGGAGGCAGCGATGATATCGGCAACAGGACCGTCGTTAGCATCAGGACCGTCGATAGCATCAGGACCATCGACAGCACCAGTCAGCACGCAATCCACCATGGGCAGTATCGACGTCCGGCAAAGGAGATACTCAGCCTCCGCACGCAAACTGCCAATGCGGATAGCCAGCCCTCCATTCCTCACAGGTATTGCAAATAGCTGACGGAGTACACCATCAGCCGCAAGATGATGGCCTGTTAACGCTGCCAGCAGATGTTTGTTGATGACGTCATCCAGTGACGTATACAAGGTAGGGTCCATAAAGACTGCACGCTGCAGATAAGTCCAACGGGACTGCAGAGAGGCAGAGAAGACGCGAAAGGCCGCCTGAGGCTGGGTGACAGCCAGACCAGCAAGGCGACTAACCAATGTGGACAGTTCCTCAACACGGTTCTTCACAAAATTCTCTCGGAACTGTTGGTCTCCAATGGCCCCGCCAAGGTAACGAACGCCGCCGCTCCGGATACGGACATCAGTGCCGGCAAATCCCTCCTGGGCCTTTTCCATTAAGTGTGGACGGACGAGTAGAACCGTCTTCATGGCATTGGGGTGGTAGCCATACCGGGGCCCCTCCTCCACGATGCAATTCCAATACCCATGCAGCAGCAGGAGCTCTCCGGCTGCGGCATCGTCATCCGCGTACCAAATCTGACTGGTGCTTGGAAGTCGACGCGACAGCCGAGATGCCAGGGGCACAGTCGGGAGAGCGTAGAACGCCATGGCAAGAGGATCCCCTTGGCATGTAACCTCCCGAGAATAAATGATCTCTCCGCCATTGAGGTATAGATGGATGTCGGCCTGGTAGGTGTTAATGAAAATTCGCCCAGCGGCAGGACAGATTCTTGGGATGTTGTGGAGCGCCGCGGCCCTGTTCACAGTATTGAAGGAGTTGGTCGCATCCACCAGCAGGATACCTTCAGTCATCTCGCGGTCATACGGTCATAGCCTAGGCCGGTCAAAGCCTGCACCCCGACCTCGCAAGCCGACGGGACGCCGACGCACAGCTGATGAGGAGCAGTAACCGCAGCCACATCCCTCTCGATAACCGACATGACCACTTTCCCAATCACGCGGCAAAACACCTCCCCGATGGCTATCGGCCTTACCCCAGGCTGCTTATCCAATGGAATGAGCCTTACTGCCAGGAATGAGCGGAGATCTCGCGGCTCAATTGCTTCAGTGCAAAGACGCTTGGCAGCACGAGCCAGAGCCGAGCACAGGTCGTCAGAAGCTGATGTATACATTGAGGCCATCTGACGCCAGGCAGCGGAGTCAAGGCCTGACGGACCTGCTGCCCCCTTCATAATCATGCAGGTCTTGCGGATTTGAGCTTGTGTTATTGAATCAAACAGCACATTCTTTTAGACTGTGGCTTCATCATCGAGTAGAATCTCTGGTTCTGCATCAGCCGGAGCAGGATGCTTGTCTCTCAACATTTCCAGTACCGACTTGCCACCCACAATCTTGTCCAACGGGAGTACGCCACCACCACCATCATCCTCCAGGTAGTGAGCAGCTGTTCCAATGCGGTCGCCGTATACCATTTTTGCGAACACGACGTCATCCAGACCATTAGCTGCTGTTTTGCCAGGTGTTGATCTGGGTAGATGGGCTTGAATGCACCGTGCCTCACGCAGCAATGCCGCCATGTCCCCGCACCTCCACCAGTCAAGACGCTTGCGTAATGATTTCTTGTTGTCAGAGGCATTGGATACTACAAAAGGCCGCTGCAGAATCAGATGGCAAGCAATGACCACAGCCGACCATGCGAAAGCTCCGTCGCGAGTTCCGCCGCTGAGACCAATCAGGCGAGCTAGTTCTCCGACGAACCGACGACCCTCATCCCCGAAAGGTATGATAAATAGATTCCGTTGCCACTTGACTATTTCTGCATGGGTTTTGTCCATGAACACTTTATGTACCGCGCATCTAATGTATGCGTAGGGTACTCCTCGTCAATGATGGACCTATAGGATAAAATCTAGATGCATTTTGTGTGTGCAAGTTATGTTTTTCTGAATGTATAGTAATGAATGGGTCCATTTGTCAACATATTGTAATCCAGCATGCAGCTATAAGTAGAAGGCATACACAGAACACCCAATTATGAGCCAATTGTGCGTAATTCTGACAATTGAGATCGCTACATTTGAAATAAAGTATAGACGTGTCAGGGACGGCCATTGGGACGCACAGTGACAGAAGGATACCACAGGCACTAGTTGCATGCATGAACAGCAACAGAAGGGGCGGAAAACGGATGCATCGTCTAAATACCAGACGCAAACAATTGCGTCAAATATTCAAATTATTGCAATTATTTCAGATTTGAAATATACTCTACTCACGCCGAGCGAGGATTGGTGATTGAGAAGACAAGAAATAGTTACTAGGTGATGACCTCCGCCTACCTTGGTGATTTTATGCCATCGCTGCCCTCCCTCTCGCTGCTACTTGGAGAGCGAATGCTGTGATGGCTTCAGCGATGATAATTGGCAGTTTCGATTCAGACCCTGAGGAGATATCGCTGCTTCAGCTCTCTCCAGGTGTCTACCACGTCTAGAGGATGTCGACATTAGCTGGAGAAGGCTATATCTCTATTAGCAGCAGCGTGACGGAACAAAAACAGGATCGAAATTGGCAAAATATATCGCAGAGCGCTGCATTTGCGAAGCGCACATTTCGCCGCGATCGGTCTCCATACTTTCAAATGGCGACCTACCTATATCACACATCAACATTTTCAGTGGGATCTCAGCTGTCCACTGCGAAAAAAAAACGCGAGTCAATAACCGTAAATATTTTTACGGTTCGAGATGGGCGCAGTACATAAAGGGTTAAAATGATTATATCGTCCGTTGGCAACGACCAAAAGCCATCAGGTTCTGGAGAATCACATTTCTCGGGTGGCAGATGAACGAACTGAGGCTGTCGAGAAGAGCCAGGACCCACAGAGGTCGGCGCTGAAGACGCAGGTACCCGGGAAGCTGCAGTGGGATCAGCAGAATCACCCACGGGCAAAGGGGCGGCAGCGAAATCAGGAACCATCCCCGAGCACACAGGAACAGGCAAGTCCACCCGTAGTGACTCCACAGACGGAACCGCAGTCGCAGACACAGAAGATTGGGAAGATCCTGCGACTCCAGGCGCCGGTGCCGCACCCGAGCGTTCGGCGGCCGACGACGGGGGCCTGGATACCGAAGTAATCCGTACCTAGCGAGGCACACCACCGGTCCGGCGAGCAGCGGACTCACCCGATCGAGAAGGCTGCACTCTTCGTCCACTCCAGGCCGGCGGATCACCAGCAGAAAGGCCTTGAGGCACCTCTGATCCACCAACATCGTGCAAATCCAAATTTCCAAAATTCCTGCAGCGCCCAACTTGACCTGGGTAGCAATTGACACAGCATCGTCCATCCTTATTGCACGAACATGCTCCGCACGTACCAGTTTTCTTGTTGCAGGAGCAACAGGGCCCAGCCGAAGCCCCGCGCCGTGACATGCCATGCAGCCTGCAGCACGGGCAGAACAAGTCGCGAAGAGACGCGAGGTGTGAAGAGCGCCTCGCATGTCACTCGCCACAGATCATGCGGGAAAGCACTCACTGTGACTCAGCCGCGAAGCACAACACAGCAAGCCATCTCATCCAAGCCCCAAAGGCGAAGGCACCACAACTACAGCACAATGGCCGGTTCCCCAGGCAATACGCCATCAGCTGGATGGAGGAATAGCGGACTGGGCAACTCCACAGCGGTAAAAACTACTGGAGCCGACTCCTGAAACCTAGACGAAAGTAATGACGTAGGTTAACAACCGGTTGACCTGGACAGTGGATAAAACAATTAGAAAAACTGCGGAGGAGCAAAATCTCCATCTGCACTCTATCTCCACTACTACTGCTACTACTGCTGCTGCTGCTGCTGCTGCTACTGCTGCTGCTCCTGCTGCTGCAGCTGCTCCTGCTGCTGCTCCTCCTGCTCCTGCTGCTGCTCCTGATGCTGCTGCTGCTCCTGCTGCTGCTGCTGCTGCTGCTGCTGCTCCTGCTGCTGCTCCTGCTCCTGCTGCTGCTGCTGCTCCTGCTGCTGCTCCTACTGCTGCTGCTCCTGTTGCTGCTCCTGCTCCTGCTGCTGCTCCTGCCGCTGCTCCTGCCGCTGCCGCTGCAGCTACCGCTACCGCTACCGCTACCGCTACCGCTACCGCTACCGCTACCGCTACCGCTACCGCTACCGCTACCGCTACCGCTACCGCTACCGCTACCGCTACCGCTACCGCTACCGCTACCGCTACCGCTACCGCTACCACTACTACTACTACTACTACTACTACTACTACTACTACTACTACTACTACTACTACTACTACTACTACTACTACAGTCCCTTCTGTCCTCTGCCTTCTTGATTGAATAGCCACTTCACGGCAACAGTGAAAACCGCAATCGAGGGCGGTTCTGAAATGAAAAACACGGCTATACAGGCGCCTAAAAAAAAAGGAAAATACTTGCTCAGGATGATACTCGAGTGCACATACACGCCCCCTGCAGGTTCTGTGGATGTCGTTTATTGATGCGTACTTTCGTGTGTCGTTGTTGGCTGTTTGTTTCACCGCTCGACCTTTTTTTATCCCTTTGAGGCCCATAGTACGGACATATGCTTTTCCAGGCATAATCTGGCGTAACTTGGATGTCCCCTAGCCAAGTTGGACGTTTGAAAGCTCAAGCGGCATTAGAATGTTCAGCTATCAGCTCGAAAAGACCCAAAGGCGATCGGAGGAAGAAGAGCGGAGGTATGAGCCTCGAACGAAAAACGCTCAGCTGAGTCAACTCGTGCGCTGCATTTTTACCTCATATCTCTGTGTTTTTGCTTGATTCTCGGCCCAAGCAGCCACGCTAGTTCGTGTCATCGCCAAAGCACGTTTCTCGGCTGTCATGTAAAAGTATATTGAGCGATCTGCAATACTTGCTCTCATAGGGTGAGCAGCAGCTTTCGGCCTGTTTATCAATGAAGCAGTGCCACCTCCACGAAATGCGCTCTCTGGCAAAAAAATGATTCTTCAATATCTTCAACTTGGTGTCATGTTGCTAGTTTGTGAGGTCGGCCAGAGAGCGTGTTGGGTGGAGGTGGAATTGCTTCATTGATCAGCCATACTGTTGGCCGATAATTTGAGCTGGGTGCTCGCTCGCAATGCTGGCTTTGGAGCGCCAAACCGTGCTGCAGCGCTGGTCCTGCTTATCTACTGCTTATCACTGTTTCCCTGTGACCGAGAACTTTCCAGAAAGGCTTAAGGTTTTATTGACCTGAACAACATGAAAATGGTATGGCCCGGCTGGGATGGGCGTTTGCTGCAAAGTCGGCGTTTGCAGCGGATTTTACGGTATATCCGTTGTGTAAGGGATTCCTAAAGACGAGGATATCCGTTTTCAAATTTTCAGTTTGTGTAGCGCATAGATCAATGTGCAAATTGTCGTAACTCCATTGTCTTTTCTTCGGTTGCCAAAAGTTAGGGCATGTTGGAAGCTGATAGAACAAGCTTTCCAATGGTGGGTCGCTAAACACTTTCAGCCCCAACCACGAGTTAACTCGTGTTCAAAAACGACCTAAAATCCGAAGCACGGGTTTACTTGTGTGCAACTGCGCCAGTTTGTGCAGTGCATACACATCACTGTTCGAATTATCGTAACTCCATTTCCCTTTCTCCGATCGCCAAGAATGAGGGCTCATTAGAAAGCTGAGAGAATAGGCTTTCCAACGATGTGTCGTTTGATACAGCGCGATGAAGAACCACGGAGCGCCGGAGAGCGAAAACACGAATACGCTTGAATTTGTTTCAAGTTGCGTGCGTGGTGAGCATGGCAGTGCTCAAACGGGACTTCCCCTGTGACTCATGGTTGCATAGCGCATGCGTACTGGAGACCAAATGAATCCCTTGAGCTTCAGAAATCTGCAGGACTTTGAATTACCATTGTTCGTTGAGTAAAACTTCAGAACCGATGAAACTTGTGGATGTGGGCACAGTATCTCGCTCAGGCGCAATAGAACACCTCTCAAAAGACCTGAAGGCGATTCTGTTGCTCCTGTTGAGTATTTTAGTGGCGATTTCTGGAGAGAGGAGATCTGTAGCTTTCCAACGTGACCAAGATGGAGATATTCCAAATCTGGTGAGTGAAATTAGATAAATTTGAAATGCGTACTGGGACTGTTGCGCGATCGATTGCGCACCTCTGCTCGAATCCTGTAGGAATCCATGGATGCCATGGTAAGGCTCAAAGGGTTAAAAAGTAGGGCTGAAACGATTATACCATTTACTCGGCAAGCGATCGATAATTCCTTATCAATCAAGTAATCGTTACGTTATAGATTACTCGTTAGGGGTTTTGAGTCCAAAAAGTACTGAAAACTCTTGTTTTGCGAAGTTTGAATCAGTTTACACTGCGAGTATGTAGTTACCTGGGACATAGTGCATATTCTGAGGTTAAATTTACTTCAAAACTGCCATGTTTCGGACCTACCCTGTCACTAATGCAGATTTTTGGTAGTACGAAAGCCTAGCTTTCGGAAACAGAGTAATTTTCCCACTGAATTCTGACACTATTTGCTAGTGATTATAATCGATTAGAGTAATCGATAGGTGAAAAATACACGATCGTTTCAGCCCTATTAAAAAGACCAGGAAAGTCTCATTAAAAAATCTTATTGCCCAGTAGGGTACTTACAGATTCAAAATTGAACTGTATGATGGATGGCTAAAACTCTCCTGATTGATAATTTGAATAAGGTTGTTTTTCATCTCCCTGGATGTTGGACAGATATACATTCAATACGAGAGCAGCAGATTGAGGTGCCGAATGACACACAATGATTTGGTCATCTTGCTCAGTGTACTCCTGTCAGCCGTGGTTGTCAAGATCTATGCTGTGGGTGGTTGTTACCATAAGTGGCTGTGCCCATGGGTGGCTGTGCCCATGTGTGGTTGTGCCCATGGGTGGTTGTCTCTATGGGTGGTTGTGCCCATGGGTGGTTATGTCTATGGGTGGTTGTGCCCATGGGTCACTGTGCCCACGGGTGGTTGTGCCCCTGTGTGGCTGTGCCCATGGGTGGTTGTGCCCATGTGTAGTTGTGTCTATGGGTGGTTGTGTCTATGGGTGGTTGTGTCTATGGGTGGTTGTGCCCATGGGTGGTTGTGCCTATGGGTGGTTGGGCCCATGTGTGGTTGTGCTCCTGTGTGGTTGTGCCCATGGGTGGTTGTGCCCATATGATTGTGGTTGTGCCCATGGGTGGCTGTGCCCATGGGTGGTTGTGCCCATAATTATGTGGTTGTGCCCATGGGTGGTTGTGCCCATGGGTGGTTGTGCCCATGGGTGGTTGTGCCCATGAGTGGTTGTGCCCATGGGTGGTTGTGCCCATGGGTGGTTGTGCCTATGGGTGGTTGTGTGCATGGCCATGCCGAATGTTTCTTGTGTTTTCCTGCCATGAGGCTCGATTCGGTCAGTGTACGGCCGTTAAAGCTATTGTCGCCTGGACGCTTCTTTACTGAAAATCACTGGGTGAGATAAATCAGTTTCTTTTAACTCTCCAACGGCCATGCTTAAACATGAATGTCCAGACCGTCACCAACGGTGAAGCTGAACAGGTGGTTGCTGTCGACATTGCCGGAGCTTTCGACCGAGTGTCACACATTGGAGTCCTCCATAAAGCAGAGCAACAATCCTTGGCTCTCCATCCGAGTTCATTCTAACAAACCAAACCTTTGTATTCTGTCGTTGTCTCTTTCATCACCCCATTGTTTTGTAAGGATGTGCACATAGGCTAAAAAAAAGATAAAATAAATAAAATCTTGCCTCACTGGCACAGCATTTCCTCTCTAGCCGATGAGAGCTGAAGGTTTTAGTCCGAGGCCAAACTTCCCGTGCCCAACCAATTACTGTAAAAGCCATTATTCTAACGAGGCGCATTTTTTTTACTATAGAACACTCACTGCATGATGAACTAAAATGAGGAGAAGAACTCGACACAATGGTACATGAGCCGCAATCAGCGAAAACGACCCTTAGAGATTTCGTGATTTTTTCGAGAGAAAGGTCGATTTGTGACGTTCAACGATTTTTTGGATCGTGCTGCGAACAGCGCGACGACTTCTTCTTGCTTGAAGTAATTTATTTTGAATTAGTTGAAGTGGTGTCGAGTGGCGACTCCAGTGTTCCTTGATCTTGTTGCGATGGCTGCGGACGCCAGAGCTGTTCGCAGCGCACACATGGCAGTCATTGTCTACAGCTAGCTCGAGCCTGGTGGGGAGTGGATGCTGAAGTAGCCTCTGAAGTTCTGAATGAGGATGAGACGTTCTTTGGTTCCGACATCGATGTCGACAGCGAGGCGGAATCGCAGCCGTCATCTCCTGCTGCGATGCGGCTCAAGGTGGCCGATGACTCGTCAGAGTCGGAAGATGAGGAGTCGTCACCTGAGATAAATTATGAGTCTGGGGCTAGTGACGGCCGCGACGTCGTGTCTTCAGCTGCGGAGGAAGAAATGGAAGACGAGATTGCGGAAAGACTCCACGCAGGACGCAGCTGCGAACATGTCGATCATTTCCCCGCACTCATCAGCTATTCTTTGTCATTATAGCTGCTTACTGGACTATTTCAAAAGTATTCAAGCTGCCCACCCACCTTCGAATGCTGAATATTTATTGTACATATACATCGTAAACATACATTGCACCAATTTGGAGTACATCTTGTATATTGGTGTATACACCCGTTTAGAATTGGAATATTGAACTTTTTCTTGGCTGAGGTCCTTCAGTAGATGTGGTTCAACAAATTTCTAACCGAAAAGGAATTTTGAAAATGTTGACCCTAAGGGCTGTTTTCGCTGGTTGAGGCCCACATATCCAGTAGGACGGAGTGGGTGGGACCTGTGAAGCTCAGCCGACGAAGGGTCTCGGCATCACAGCTGCACATGTGCACCAAAGGAAACAAAATGGGGAGTGGAAGGGCGGGGAGGGGAGCAGGAGAGCAAGAACTCTAAGGGTAGGAAAGAGAGGAGGGGGGGGGGTAGGAAACCAGAAAACTTGTTATTCCAAGATATGAGTGCAAACAAGTACGCAAACAAGTACAAATATAGCAGTATCAAGATCATGATGCTGAGGCGAAAGTAGAGGCTGATTGCCGTGCAAATTTGACGAAAGATTAGAGTTAGAATGGAGGAGAGTTAAAGAGAGATAAAGACAGATGAATTGGGAGTTTGATGAGAAGGGAGTGCTCCGAGAACATGAATAGGGTCGAAGTGGAAGTAGCCTAGGGGGCGATGTCCGTGGCCAATGACCAACCCGACCGTTTCAGGTAGCGGTAGGTCTGAACCTTGAACTGCTGCATCCCTTTGGCAGACGGTGCATCGCGGAGGAGAGTGGCTGGCAGTTCATTCCAGGCTTCTATGAGGCACTCCGGGAAAGAGCGCAGCGCAACATTGCACGATCTGGCAGGTAGGGCTGTCTGGAGTTGAAGCTCGTGCGCAAGGTTGGCTGCTGAGCGGCGACGTGTGGCAGGCGCGATGGCGGGTGCGATGGCTCTGGCTGGGCGTGTCACTGCAAGAGCTGGCGGGCTTGCGATGTAATGGAGCTTGTACAGAGTTGTGAGGCCGGCCACACGGCGCCGCAGGGACATAGTGTCCATTGCAGCCCCTGTCCCAATCAGGGTGAGGGCACGATGCTGGACTCGGTCCAGCTGTGAGAGATGGGTAGCCGCAGCTCCCATCCATACAAGTGGGCAGTACTCCATTAGAGGTCGAATGAACCCCCGGTATGCTGTGGCCCGGCCCGGTGGGTCCAGGACATGGCACGCCTTCCGGAAGAAACCAATTCGCTGTGTTGCACGCACTGCAGTTCCTCGAAGATGCTCCGAGTATGTTAGATGGGCATCAAACGTCACTCCAAGGAGCTTCAGCCGCGAGCATTCCGGGACCGCTGTGCCGTTGAACTTGATGGGTGGTGTCTCCCAGGGTCTGCGGTGGCGGGACACAGTCATGGCCTGTAATTTCGTGGGCTCAAAAGTGACGCGTCACTGAGCACCCCATTCAGCAAGTGCATCCACACCAGCTTGGAGGTTGTGGCACACTTCTGTCACAGCATGTGGCGTTGGGATGTGGGCATAAAGCGTGGTGTCATCTGCGTAAACAGCCGGAGTGATCCCTTCCGGTAGGACGTCGCAGGCGTCATTCGCGTACAGCAAAAACAGTGTGGGCCCAAGGATGCTCCCTTGTGGGACCCCAGCATCAATCTTGTATGGTTCTGAAGATGCTCCGCCGACTACTGCCTGCAACTTCCTGTCATACAGGTAGTCAGACAGCCAGTGGAGGAGGGGACCAGTGATGCCATATGACGCAGCCTTGTGGAGCACGCCTCGGTGTGAAACTTTGTCGAATGCTCCTGCTATGTCGACAGCCAGCACGCGGACTGCGCCACCACGGTTGACTTCGGAGACCCAGGAGTGGTTGAGAGACGTGAGAAGGTCAGATGTGCTGAGCCCCTGCCGGAATCCGTACTGGTGGATGGACAGAGCCTTTTCATGCTCAAGATGATTGATTATGGCAGTGTTGACAATCTTCTCCATGGCTTTGGAGACAACAGATAACAAGGACACAGGTCGGTAGTTCTTAACAGCAGAATGAGATTGCTTCTTGTGTATCGGGACCACACGGGCTACTTTCCAGAGAGAGGGCTGGACATGACACCGAAAACAGAGTGAGAACAGCTTGGCAAGTGGTGCAGCCAAAACTTTTGAGCACTGCTTCAGAACTCTGGCAGGGATGCCATCGGGTCCGGTAGCCTTGGTTGGATCCAGCTGGCGGAGCTGGCGCTGGACTGTCGCTTCCCGATATCGGACAGTTGTCAGGGCAGATTTACACCTAAGAGGAAGGTCAGGAAGGTCGGAGTGCTGTAGATCTTGATCACCCGGACTGCATTTGCTCGCAAAGAATTCTCCAAAGCAAGTAGCCTTTTCCTGGTTGGTGATATATTCTCTGCCCTGGGCATTGCGTAGGACAGGGATAGACGAGCTGCGGCCAGAGCCTGCAGCTTGCTTCAGAAGTGACCACCATTGCTTGTTTCGCAGTGATCCATGTTTGAGCCGATCTCGGATGCGGGCAGATTCTGCCTGCTTTGCGAGACGAAGGCAATTGGCAGAGGCTCGGACTTTGGCATTGTAGTCAATGAGTTGCTGGTGGCAGGTGGGGTGTCTCCTGAGACGGTTCCATGCATTCTTCTTTGCCTGGGTAGCGGCTGAGCATTCCGGCGTCCACCAGGATGGATCTGTTGGCTTCGTCGAAAGTTCTTTGTGTGGAATGAAGCGATTCATGCCTTCCATGACAACAGCGGTTACTGATCTGCACGACGCCTCGGGGTCTTCTGATATATCCCAGTTTGCTGTTGAGTAGAAGTGCCGAAGCCGGCCCCAGTCTGCCTGAGCATACCTCCAAACGCGCCGTTTAGTCGGTGGTTCGCGGAGTGGGGTGGCATCAAAAGTGGCCACAACGGTGGCATGGTCTGATGCTCCAATGGGGTCCAGTACATTTACCACCACTGAGGTCTCCGAGAAGTCGCTGAGTATGAGGTCCAGGGTGTTCTCACCATGTGTCGGTTGAGTAACGTGCTGATGGAGCCCGTGGAACGCAGAAAGTTCTTCCATGTATTCACCAGCCGGTGTAGTCTTCGTGCTGCATAGCCAGCTTTCATTATGAACATTTAAATCCCCGGCTATCACGACGCTGTTCCCGAGGGATCGAGCTTGATCCATGACTG